CAGATTCGGGCATGGTGTCATTCACACGTCGACAAAGGTCGACGACGTCCTCAATATAGCTGGTAAAGGTCTCGCCAGTCTGCTGAGAGCGGACGCGCAAGCGCTGTTCTGCCCTCTGCTTGCGGACAGCCGGCCGACCAAACACTTCGGCACATGACGTCTTGAAGACGCTCCATGTGGGGATGTTGTGTTTGTGGTTATTAAACCACAATTCGGCGACGCCAGTGAGATAAAATATCACGTGGCCCAGCTTGTCGGCTTCATCCCACTTATTGTTGGCGCTCACCAGTTCGTAGTGCTCGAGCCAGTCTTCGACGTCGGTCCCATCCGCACCGCTGAAGACCTTCGGCTCCCGTAGCGTAGGATGGCCAGGGCAGTTGAACTGGAGCGAAGGCGTCGATGTAGTGGCGTTGGCAGTCATGACAGGTGGTAGCGTGCGGCTTCGCAGCTCCAGGGTGTAGCAACGGGGATTAACAGCACCTTCCACCAAATGTGAAGAGGTTTATTAGCCGTTAAAGGCAGCGACGAGACAGCGTGAAGAACCGTCCAGCGATCGGCACAGCAACGAACCAAAGCACGAGCCGAGAGAGCCGGGCGTTGGCGATGCTGCTTGCTGCTGGCACATCTTCTTCTTCACACCCCAATCAGTTTCCTCGCCAAGAAAAATAAACCATGGTTTTCCAGAAGCCTAAAAACTTTAGAAAATAAGAAAGTGCCTCTTTCGTACTGCAAAACTCAATAGAACTGTATACGCATAGGACATATACTATGCTACGGAAGACGCTTATTACTCAGAAGTTAAAACAGCTAAATGGTAATTTTATCGTAAGGACTTGTCAAAAATTTTAAGAACTAGCCTCTGAAAGTTCTGGGCAGTTACGAACCCACCACTAGCACGGGACATCACGCTCACAAACGCAAAAGATGAATTTGTAAGCGACGCTGATTGTGCCAATACCTTTAACATCGCGTTCTCATCAGTGTTCACTAAAGATGACACGCCCCTTCCTAGCCTTCCTTCTTTAACGTTTGAAACAATGGACTCTGTTGCATTTATTATCGCTGTTACTTCATCACTTATTGGTAAAATTAAACTTTCACCATTGGCTGGTGTTAATGATATTAATTACAAGCTCTTAAAAATGCTAAAGACATCAGTGCAGTGTATTTCATAATACTCTTCTCACTGTCACTTTAAACAGAAATCTTACCAGACGACTGGAAGGAGAGAAAGGACATTCTAGTCTACAAACTAGGTAACAAACAATCTCCCCTAAATTATCGATCCATTTCTCTAACAAGCGCCCCATGCAAAATCATAGAACATGCAATATACTATCACATCATGCACTTTCCTGGCACTAACAATTTCTTTCATTTTTTTCCAGCATAGATTTTGCAAATCCTTATACTGCGAAACACAAATTGCTGTATTCGTTCATGTTCTGCATTACAACATTGACCACCACTTTCAGACAGATGCAATCTTTCTCGACTTCACAAAAGGTTTTGATAAACTACCGTATGACCGCCTATTACTTAAACTTGCCCAGCTGAACCTGCACCCCAACATTCTGACATAGATCACAGAATTTCTTACAAACCGCTCTCAGTTTGTCTCAAATAATAATAGCCACTCTACATCTCTCCCAGTAACATCTGGCGTCCGTCTTGTTTCTAATATATAATAACCACCTTCACATCCATGTGTCATCTCATATTCGTTTATTTGCCGACGACTGCGTCATCTACCGCGCAATTACTTACCCCTCTGATCAAACTACCCTTCAACAGGACCTTAATCTTGTGCAAAGGTAGTGTTATCTTTGGCTCATGGAGCTTAACCCCACTAAATGCAAAATCGTTCCTTTTCATCTCCAGCATCACCCTTTATTATCTTCATACTTAATCTCCAATTCCACTGTCGAGCATGTAGAATCATAAATACATATGCGTCACCTTACCATCTGACTTTTCCTGGAACGCTCACTTTAACAATATCGTATCATCTGCGAACAGATCTTTCGGTTATCTAAAACGTCATTTGCGTGACGCACCGCTAGACTTAACACTTCTCGCGTACAAATCTCTCATACGATCCAAACTAGAATACGAAGTGCCCATCTGGAACCCGCACCAGGAATTCTCAATTAATGAGCTAGAATCTGTTCAAAATCGTGCCACCAGGTTCATTCATTCTTCATACTCGTATGATATAAGTACATTATCCCTAAAACGTGGAATTGATGTCGCGTGCACCACCGCATCGCCAGTCTCTGTCTGTTCCATGAATTCTTTCACAGCTACCTCAACCAAGCTCCTTACATCATACCACTATCGTGCATATCTCGCTGCACGACCCATTCTTTAGCAGTCGGACGCACGCGTCCTCGCACTACTGCCTTTGCCGCATCATTTTTTCTTCGCACAGCAGTGGAATGGAATGGCCTCCCCCGTGACATTCAAACTATCACGTGTCCATCGTTTTTTGCATACGACGTAACTGCATATTGTTCGCCGTGAAGATCACCCTCTGTAACCCACCCCTTATGTAATACCTGCGAACCGGGGTCTTCAAGGTATTGAAGTGAAGTGAAGAGTGAAGTGAAGCAACGTCAAAGAAAAAAAAAGGGTTGATGGAGCATCTCGTATCGGGAACGGAAGTGGAACACAAAAATTTACAAAAGAAACACGGACTACTGTTGACTACTGTACCACCGTTATTATGTATAGCGCATATCTTCCGTAGAGATAAGAATAATTGTTGGTGTTTAACGTCCCAACACCGTGACATGATTACGAAAGACGCTGTAGTGAAGGGCTCCCAAAATTTTGAATGCCAGGGGTTTTTTACCGTGCACCGTGAACTAAATACAGGGTTCTGCGTACTGGGAGCGCGGGAACACACAAATAACAGAGACTCACAGCACACACACAGCACGTGTCTTCCCACATCACAGTTCGCTGAACGAATATGAACTACCAATTAGCCCACCTTTCCAGCTATCTTGTTGCTTACTACACGGATCTCAAGCATTTTCGCAATCGCAGACATTGCTACCGCCGCAGCCGAGATCAGATCCCGCGGGACGCCGGTTGGAATCTCGGCTGTGGCAGTAGCAGTTATAACTACTAGACCACCTAGGCGGGTCCTTGCACAGAGGGTGGCAACCCAGTAAAATCGCCGCTAAACGTGCATCTGATTTGCACGTATCTTCCGGCACTGCTCGGGCGCTCACGTTTAGTCAGAGAGGTGACCGCCAGAGGCGCAAGCGCTTTTGGTGCGCTTCCTTTTTAGGGGCGAAGCTCCTTATGGCGTGGCTTGTGCGTCCCTCGTAGTACGCAACCAGCAGTGGCACATGCCCGAAATAGGTATAACATTTGACCCCCAAGGTGGTGCTGGTGAGAGATTTCTTCTGTGCGTTGTTTAACAATAAAAAATAGTGCTTAATGTACATGCCAATGGCTGCTAATGGGGAATGAGAGACAGGAGCGTTCGGCTTTTAGTCAACGCGCACGCTGCGATCCCCATTAGCAGCCATTGGCATGTACATTGAGCACTATCTGACAAGAAAGGGTTGCTACATTATACTCGCTGAGTGTAACCTCCTTAGTTTTAGAAAGGTTTAGCGAGCGTTGAGCCGCAGGGCCATGAATACAATGAAGTAGTATATACCGTGAATGAATTCGAGGTGGTTAAAGGGGGGAAGCACATACGAAGCGCAAGCCGTAAGAAATGAAAAACTGAATCCTCCTGTCTCTCATTTCACATTAGCAGCCACTGGCATGTACATTGAGCACTATCTGACAGGAAAAGGTTGCTACGTTATACTTGCTGGGCGTAACCTCCTTGGTTTTAGAAAGGTTTAGCGAGCATTGGGCCGCAGTGCCATGAATACAGTGAACTAGTATATACCATGAACTCAGGGTGGTTGAATGTGGGAAGAAGACCCGAAGCGCAAGCCGTAAGAAAGTGTGGTGTGCCACCTCTCGTTTAGTCCTTGGAATGTCCACTGAATGGCGGTGCTTCTATATGGGTAATATATGATAAAAAGATGCGAGCGAGATGGTGGGACTTGGAGTGTTGAATAGATGGACGAACGGACACACAGACAGATGCATGGATGGACGCATGAACGGACGCAGGGGCGGATGCATGAACGAACGCAGGGACGGGCGCACGAACAGACGCATGGACGGTCACACAGACGGACGCATGGACGGACGAATGCTTCGCCCCACTCTCCATCATTCACTCCGTGGATATGCTGCCATTTTTTTGTCATTGGGAGCTCAGTGAGTGCACATCTCCGCGCAGCTACTCATTAAGAACAGCTTGGGAGAGAAAGCAGTGACGCGGAGAGCTCGCAACGCGGCTGCAATGTGGGCCCGCCGCCAAGAATTCGCGGGGAGAGCTCGCGAGACAGAAGACGCTATATTGTCTGCAGCAATCGAAAGCCAGCACCAGCTTCGATTAGCGGGCGCCGGCAGCGGTGAAGGCTCGCGCAGCCGAAGTAAAACGGGCTCGTCGAGCTCAGAGAGTCCGCGAAGCAGAGGTGACAGGAAAGCTATGGCAATAAAACGTCGAATCGGAGCAGGCGCGGGAAGCTCGGTCAAGCGTCGAAATCGATCACTGCCTAAGGTTGGTGGCGCCGTTGCGTGCTTCAAGGGTGACTTCCTTGTTTGACCCCAGCTGTAGGCTATGCGACCGCCTGGCTGTTTGACAACCTTACCACCATCGCCTCCACCTACAACGACCAGTCCTCCGGCAACGCTACCGCTGTGCTCTTATGAAAGTTTCATGGTTTTACAGATAAGCATTTAAACTTCGCCATCTCATCACCGTTCACTTCGTGGAGAAGGCGGAATTTTTTCTCATGCATTGTGACAGCTTGTTCCGTAGAGCAAATACTCGCTTAAGAACCAAGAATATGCAGTATTTCTACCACGCGTTTCTTTTCGTGGGAAAATGAAAGCCTTTGAAGTGCTACTACACTCACGTCATGATAGTTGTTTTCCTCTTCGCTGCTGGAAAGATCGCTCCCATGCAGATTGTTGCAACTGAAGACGTTCGGGGATAATGGCTGTTCTTTTCCTGCATGGACAAGAAACAGTCGTGAGGGCCCAAAGTTTTAAGGAGCCCTGACTTTTCGTCGTAAAAGTCGAGTGACTTCATCAGAAAAAAAAAGGTATTACCTATCGATTGCCTTAAAAACATCCATCAAATACAAGCGCAGTTACGGGGATTTGTCGTAGGTAGAATGACAGATTTTTATTTCACACGTTATGTCAGGTGACTAGGTGGAGGCATGCAACGTAGCTACTGTTACATAATGTTGCGTTCCTGATTTTCATGGACACTTTTACGTCATTTTACGTCACGTGACTAGTTTGACGTGATCTTGGTGGGGAAATGTCACGGTACTAGTGCAATGTGATTTTATTGGCAACATTTCAGGTGAATAGCGTAGCATGATTCTGGTTGGAACAATCGATATGAGAGAGAGAGAGAGCAACTGAGTCCGGCACAGCCGCTCCGCGCCCACCCTGTGCCGCCCGTCTACTCCCACATTTTGCCTGATTTTACTTTTACGCAACATTCCCTTCCTCTTTCTTTTAGTTCTTTGTTTCTCGCTTGCTCCTTCTGTTTTCGTGTGCATATTGTCATGGGGATCACGAATACGCGGAAGAAAAAAAAGAGTATATTTGCCATATTTACAAGTGGGTGTGGCACCTAAAAGCTGCCAGCATTTTGCGCAGCGAGTCTCCTTGTTTTTCTTCGATTCGTCCATGACGGCGGAGTCATGCCTTTACGAATTATATGCACTACGGGAGCGCTGCGTCCCAATCATGGTGGTTAGCAGAGACGTGCATTGACAGCATATCTGTAATAAATCAGTTTAGGCGCTCTGTGAGACCCTTGGTCTGGCGATGGTAAGCAGTAGTAAGGTGATGTTCGGTAGAGCAGCTACGGGAAACTTCGTTGATAACCTTTGCGAGGAAGCAGCGGCCACGATCCGTAAGAAGCTGGCGCGGAGACCCATGCGGCAGAATGACGTCATTCAGAAGAAAGTCTTCAGCGCAGCTAGTCGGCAAGGCGCGAGTTAAGCATATCTGGTCGCATAGTAAGTTGCGACTGCAATTCATTTGTTGCTTGGCCCGGACGTAGACAAAGGTCCGAGCAAGTTGAGGCCAACGCGGAAGAATGGTTTCGGGGCAATGTCGATACGTTGGAGCTGGACGGAGAGCAGGACGTTCGCGACGCCATCCATCCATCCATCCATCCATCCATCCATCCATCCATCCATCCATCCATCCATCCATCCATCCATCCATCCATCCATCCATCCATCCATCCATCCATCCATCCATCCATCCATCCATCCATCCATCCATCCATCCATCCATCCCTCCATCCATCCATCCATCCATCCATCCATCCATCCATTCATCCATTCATCCATTCATTCATTCATTCATCCATCCATCCATCCATCCATGAGATGAAGGGCCCAGTGACCTAGGCGACCAGTTGGGTCCTTGAGCGACGACACAGAACGTGGTGGCCAGTAATAATAGAGAACTCACGGCCACAGAAGTAGGGGTGAAATTTCGCTACAGCCCAGACCACCGCAAAGCACTCGTGCTCCGTGATCGAATAGCTTCGCACAGATATGGAGAGAAGGCGGCTGGCGTACTAATCAACATGCGTTTGGCCCTCCAGGTGTTGAGCGAGGACGGCGCCGATGTCGTAAACACTGGCGCCTGTGCGAACTTCAGTCGTCGCGCATGAGTCCAAGTGGTCCAGTATTGGTAGTGAAGTGATCAGGTCGATCAGCGTGGAAAACGCAGCTGCTTGGTCTTGGCCCCACGAGAAGGACACGTTCTTTTCGAGAAGGCCAGTGAGTGGTCGGGAAATGGTAGCGAAATTGCGTATAAAACGTCAGAAGTAGGAGCATAAGCCTACAAAACTACGAAAATCTTTAGTAGGAGAAGGCAGACGAAAGTTCTTGACAGCGCTAATCTTGTCAGGGTCCGGTCGAACGCCAGCAGAGTTTACACTATGACCAAGGACCATGATTTGTTGTCGGCCCAAATTTCGATTTTTGTAGTTCAGCTGTAGTCGCGCTCGACAAAAAATGGCTAAAGAAGAAAGAAAAGTGGATGAAAAAATTACCAGCCGTGAGCAGGAATCATACCTACGACCTTCGAATAACGCGTTCGATGCTCTAACCACTGAGCTATCACAGCGGCCGTCCCTCCATCCACTTTTTGGGGTTTATATGTGAATTTAGAAGTAGGAGTGACAGTCAGCGCCATCTATAAGCCAAACAACGAGTGTGAAAACACTCTTATTCGCATGCTTGGCGTCACGTAGCACGTGAACTTATTATGAGCGGGCAGCTGATTAATTGTCCCCCTTATACAACCTAAACAGACCAAGTCTGCCAGTACGAGACCCTCGTTCAATGAAATAAGGGAGAGAAGTGTATACCTAAGGGCTCGTATTTCCGTGTTTTAACACAATAATAATGAGATATAACAGACAGTAATGCCAAGGAATGTACAGGGGAAGTTATTAGAACCAATGGAATGTAATTAAGAAGAAAGAAGAAAGAAAAGTGGATGAAAAAATTACCAGCCGTGAGCAGGAATCGAACCTACGACCTTCGAATAACGCGTAATATATATATATATATATATATATATATATATATATATATATATATATATATATAAACGCCCACGTGACCTTTGCGCACGCCTTTGCGTGCATACAACATACGTATTTACAATGCGTTATTCGAAGGTCGCAGGTTCGGATCCTGCCCACGGCAAGTTATCTTTTCACCCACTTTTCTTTCTTCTCATTTACATTACAATTGGCCTAATAAGTTTCCCTATACCTTCCTTGGCATTATTGTTGGTAGATCTCATTAATATTGTGTAAAACACGAAAAACGAGCCTTTAAGGATACACTTGTTTCCCTTATATATATATATATACATACATATATATATATATATATATATATATATATATATATATATATATATATATATATATATATATATATATATATATATATATATATATATATATATATATATATATATATATATATATATATCAATGCATCAAGGATACTTTTCGAAACAGTTTCTTCGTCAAGGGATGAGTTAAACGAACGTCGTCCTTCAAACAACTTGTTTACCGCCACGTCCCTGTGGCCTTGAAACATGTTTGTGAGATTGAGAGAACACTAGAAGAAAAGGGAGAAAAACGTTTTGAAATAACGAGGAAGAACGCAAGCAACGAAACGAAACTGTGCACAGCCAGAAGTCATTGGAAGTCCACTTCGGGTTCTGATCCTGTGCTGGCCGGCTCTCCACTTGTGACGGGTCAACCCGATTGTCAACGCAGTATGCGAAAGGAGCCCACGCCACCACTCGTAAGGAAATGGTTTTTTCTTTCTTTATGGGTCGGCTTTCCACCTTTTATCTCCACCCGTTTCTTGTCAATGGCCTTCAAGTAGTAGGGGAGCGTAAGCACTTCGCATTGTACGTACACGTTTTTAAATGATTTTCCTAATCAAAAGAAAATATTTGAAAAACGGGTGCGATACAAAACATGCCGAATAATTACCCCAATATGTGTCACAAAATCGCACCTAAGGGCCTCCACCTTGCCTGCAACCCCTCAGTGTCTATACCAAGTGAAGCAGAAAGAGAAAAGTGGGAAGAAATATGCGCCTTTGAGACTGACTCAGGTCATTGTGGACCATATACCATGAGTGTAAGGCCGCCAAATACAGTGTCATGGAGGCCACGCATAAACTCATGCTTAATCTAGGAGAGCGTAAGGCAAGAGAACTGGAAATATACGAGTCAATAAAAATTGGCAGATTCCACGTAGAGTGGGAATCGATGATATGCTAAGCACGAATGATGAAGGTTGGTATGTCACTTTAAAATCAGCACAACGTTTCGAGGTGGACATAAATTATGCCGTACATGGCTTCCATGTCTTTATTATCATTTTTGGACGCGTAATTTATTTTCGTCGTCTTTTCACGTCACGTTATACCAAATTCGGTAAATGTGGAGCTGGCGAAACAGCCGTGAACACGCTATGAGCATAGAATGTAGTCCTGTTTTACACGACACGCATGCCACGACTATCATATTTAGTCGTGTCATTCACCATCTTCGTCCATTCACGTCGCGTAATACCACATTTAGTATATGTGAAGCTAGCGAAAGGGCCGCGAGCGCATCGTGAGCGTGGTATATAGTCATGTTCTCACATGACACGCACGTCATGATTATCATGTTTCCGCCAGTCATATATCTTCGTCATTCATTGACTTCACGCTACAACAAAATTGGTATATGTGAAGCTAGCGAAACGACCGCGAGCACAGTATGAGCGTAGCATGCAGCCATTTTTTACATGACACGAATGTCATGATTATCATGTTTGGACGTGTCATATACCTTCGTCGTCCGTTCGGGTAACGTAATACCAAATTTGGTATTTGTAAAGCTAGCGAAATGGCCGCGAGTGCATCATGAGCGTGGCATGTAGCCATGTTTTTAGGGTCTGTCATTTGTGTTCCACGTTAGGGTCTGCCATTTGTGTTTATCATTCAGTCGTGTCATACCTTACCAGTTTTGAAACATGTCGCGTGAACGAAGCAACTGCAAGAGCCGCAAGCCCATGAAATGTAAATCCTCACATTCACGACATACATGTCATGATTTTATGTTATGACGAGTCACTTCAATAACACGATCACCGAATAACACGAATAACACGATGACCAATCGTGTTATTCCATACCTATTTTGGCATCGATATCATTATCCAAACGGCCAGGAGAGCCAAAAGTCATAAACAGACAGACAGACAGACAGACAGACAGACAGACAGACAGACAGACAGACAGACAGACAGACAGACAAACAGCAGATAGATAGATAGATAGATAGATAGATAGATAGATAGATAGATAGATAGATAGATAGATAGATAGATAGATAGATAGATAGATATATAGATAGATAGATAGATAGATAGATAGATAGATAGAT